TGACCCTGGCTCTTCTCTCTCCCTCCTTAATGAGTTTGTGATGAAAAGGGTCAGTGGATAATCTGGGATAAGCTTCAGAGCCTTAATCACAGCCGCCAAGTCCCTTTTGCCTTATAAGGGAACGCATTTCACAGCTTTCTGCAATTAAGATAGGCACATCTCTGGGAAGTCCACAAGCTGCTTAAAAGAGAAATTCTAGTGGAGTTGAGTGTTCTGGGCCTTAACTATAATCCTTTTCATCTGTGCAGGGTTTAGAAGCCTTCCATATGACACTTTTTTTCCCTCCTTGAATTGATCCTGGGAAATCAATGAGGTAAGTACTGAGCCTACACTGTAAAAGAGGGAACAGTACACAGGGGTGGCCCTGGGCCTGGCCACACAGCTACAGAGAGACCCAGGTTTGGAGCTCTTATTGTTTTGTCTCCTTAAATATTTACTCATTTATTTTGAAGCAGGGTCTCAGTGTGTATGTATGTCAGGCGGGCCTGGAACTCACAGAAATTCTCCTGCCTCCACCCCACCCCCAAGCACTGGGGTTAAAGGTATATGGCACCATGCCTGGCTAATATTTTGTTTCTAAAAGATAATACACTTTATAAATTTCATGTAGTTGTGGTGTGTGTAAGCGCACACACACCAGGATCGCTGAGGGCAGTCTGCGGTGGTCAGGGATTTCCTTCCACCACATGGAGTCCAGGGAAGGGACTCAGACCCTCAGCCATGGCGCGCTAGCACCGTGTGGTTGAGAATGATCATGTTAGGGCCACAGGTACAGCAACTTTGTGCAGCGTCAAGAATGGAAGCCAAGACTTCATGTATGCCAAGCAAGCACTCCACCAACCAAGTCTCACCCAGGCAAGCACTCTATCACCATGTGATATCCTATAGATCACTATGTGATATCCTATAGATCACCGTGTGATATCCTATAGATCACTGTGTGATATCCTATAGATCACTATGTGATATCCTATGAGGATTTCAGAAGTTTTGATTCAGTTCCTCCACCCACAGTTCCCAGCCATTTGCTTCCAGAACAATGTGCCCTTGGTGCATCGGGGTGTTTCCTCGGGTACCTGACAACCTTCAGGATAAAGCTCCCCAAAGTGAGCCTGTTTCTGTTCCCATGGCCTAGATGTGTCCTCAGCAGGCAGGCCTGAAACCAGGAGGGTGAGATGTGGGCAGAAAAGCTGTTGTTTTTGGATTTTTTTTTTTTTGTGTGTGTGTGTGTGTGTGTGTGTGTGTGTGTGTATACCCTTGGCCCAGAGCCCCAGAACTGGGTGTCCGTCCATCTGAGGCGTGTCCTCCACAGCAGCTGAGGCTGGGACCCTGCTTGCCTGGAGCACTCTTCTTCTTAGAAAAGCCTTAGTGAGAATCTCTCATAATCACTCCAGTGTGGTTTATGGTTTTGCCTTGGGTGCTACTACTGCATGGGAGGAGAGCTCTCCCGGCCCCACAGATGCTGGGGGAAGCTGCCACGGAACCTCCTGATGCCTCTCTGAGCACCTCTCCCCCACCCTACCCACCACGATGATGGTCTTTGTGTGCCTTCCCTGTTCCGGGAACTGGGTTACATTGGATCTGAGCAGGGCCCTGTTCCCTGGTGCATTTGCCTCAGTGGAAGGAGATGGGGCCCGTGGAAAGGCGTGTGACAAGGAATCAGAATTGATTTGTGGGGTGGGAGAGGCGGTGAGAGCGATTTTGTGGCAGACAATGTCTCCAGCTCTAAAGATGAGTTCAGACGGGCAGAAGTGAGATACAAGCACAGGCCTTGACCAGGGGGTCCATGAGCCTCACCCTCACTCACTCTAGGTGGCCCCCACAAAAGGACTGATTGTTAGGTCTTTCCAGCTCAAGAATGGAAGAAGCATTATGGCATGGTGGCACTCATCTGTAATCCCAGTCCTGAGGAGGCTAAGCCAGAGTCACCTGTGGTTGGAGGCCAGCCTGGACTACAAGGCAAGAGTCAACCTGAGCCACATAGCAAGATCTTGTCTAAAGGAATTAAATAGATAGATGATTGATAGATAGATAGATAGATAGATAGATGATAGATAGATAGATAGATAGATAGATAGATAGATAGATAGATAGATATAGAGAGATAGATGAGAGATAAACAAACAAATAAATAAAAAGAAAAGGTAAGAGAGGAGTTTGAGCCTGAGAGTAGTGATCAGTGTGTCATCTCCGAGGCCGAGTAAGTCCACTCTGGAAACGGTGTCCAGCTGTTTTCAGGGCTGAGCATACCATAAGGTTCCCACTAAGCAAGGGTCTAGTAAGGAGGCAGTGGCCTGATGTCAACTTTAACGAGGGTGGCAACCAGATGTGAGACCAGCTGTGGAGAGCGAGTGAGCTCTGTGTGTGGGTGGCCATATGGAGGGAGGCAGGAGGATAATCAGGGAGTGGGGCGAGCATCTGCAGAGACAGAAGTGGGGAGCCGGAGGGCAAGCCATCTGTGACAGGCTTGAGGTCAGGCTACCCCGGCTCAGGCTTTGGGAAGTGACTGTCCCCGGGCAACTAATGATGCTGTTGGGTGGATCCCTATCCAGGGAGGCTGTTTAGCCTTTGGAAAGAGCAGCTGACAAAATACTTTGCACTTGGCCGGGTAGAAATACATAGGGACATGAAGTAAGCCTTGACATCATCTGACAGCCCAGTCACCAGCTCCCCCTCCCTGGGCTGGAGGAATTTGCTCAGGGTTGGCACCTGGGCGGAGGCTGAAGGAGCCTCACCCGCTAAATGATGCTGCTGTGCCTTTAACTGGCACTTCCTCACTTCCCCTCTCTGGGCTTTGGCACCTGTCATGTCACTGCCCTGGGTGCCTGCCCCCCAATCCTGTCTGCTGCACTCTCACTGGTTAGTCCCCCTCCTCAAACTGTGTCCTCTACTGCTCATCTGCTCTCCTTCTCCAGTCCACATGACACCCCCCACCCCCCCCCACCCCCCCACCCCCGTGATCATGTCTGCCCCTCTTCCCAGGATGTACAACCTGGTTGTTTGTGGGTTTGGTTTGGTTTTCGAGGCAGGGTTTCTTTGTGTAGCCCTGGCTGTCCTGGAACTCACTCTGTAGACCAGGCTGGCCTTGAACTCACAGAGATCCACCTGCCCCTGCCTCCCAAGTGCTGGGATTAAAGGCATGGGCTACACAGAGAAACTCTGTCTTGAAAAACCAAAGAAGAAAAAAGAAGAGGAGGAGGAGGAGGAGAAAAGAAGAAACATGATTAAAAGAATAAAACGTGCAGATGAATGGATAATCAAAACAATCAATGAAATGACTCTTAATGATGTTCTACTATACTCATAGATTGGTGTCTAGCTCAGTCATCATCAGAGAGGCTTTCTCAGGCAGCTGACGGGAGCAGGTGCAGAGACCCACAGGCAAACATTTGGAGGAGAGTGAACCCAGGTTGGAGGTCTCCACTGGGTCCTTTCCCTTGGAGCTCAGGGAACCAACCCCAAGGAAGGAGGGAGGATGGATTGTGGGAGCCAGAGGGATCAAGAACGTCAGAGAGCATGCCCACAGAACCAACTACACAGAGCTCATGGGGGCTCACAGAGACTGAAGCGGCAATCACAGAACCTAAACGGGTCTGTGCTAGGTCCTCTGCATATATGTTATGGTTGTTGGCTTGGAGTTGTAGTGGGTAGCTGTTCCAGCCTTGACCTTGAAACACTGCCCCTAGAGTGACAACAGGTAACTGCCACACCTGCCTATGACCTGCCCCTGGGGCGTGGCTGAGAGGGAGCCCCTTAAGACTTGATGTGGTACTTGCTTGGCCCCCTTCTGGATACCTCATGGTCCTGGAATCTGGATGGGAGACCAAGCCAGAGTTCTCTGCTGGATGGTACCTCATCTCTCCTGGATCCTGTAACCAACCCCTATTGGCTGTAAGTTATCTCAGAAATAAACCTCTCTTGATTACCAGATAAATTACGTGGAATTGCCTCTTTTTTAAAAAAAAAATTTTTAAAGGTTTATTTATTTATTATGTATACAGTGTTTTGTCTGTATGTATCCCTGCAGGTCAGAAGAGGGTACCAGATCTCATTATAGATGGTTGTGAGCCACCATGTGGTTGCTGGGAATTGAACTCAGGACCTCTGGAAGACCAGCCAGTGCTCTTAACCTCTGAGCCATCTCTCTAGACCCAGTCACATAATTTTTTCTCACTTTTTAAATTTATTTTTCTATTATCAGCTTGATACAGTATAAATTCTTATCCTAATTGTGAAATCTTTCATTGAGGCTTGCCCAGTAATTGAGTAAAACCAAAACTTATTATAAGCCACAGTCATCCTAGGGTCCCCCCCCCTATATAGTCTCCCTGGTTCTGTGGGTTGTAGTCTGATTGTTCTTTATTTTATATCTAGAATCCACTTATGAGTGAGTACATACCATGTTTGTCCTTCTGGGTTTGGGTTACCTCACTCAGGATGATTTTTTTCTAGTTCCATCCATTTGCCTGCAAATTTCATGCTGTCTTTGTTTTTCTCTGCTGAGTAGTACTCCATTGTGTATATGTACCACATTTTCTTAGTCCATTCTTCAGTTGATGAGCATCTAGGTTGTTTCCAGGTTCTGGCTATTACAAATAGTGCTGCTATGAACATAGTTGAGGAATTGCCTCTTGAAATACAGTTATATGGTGTTTTTGTAGGGCTCTTGACAGTGGCAGTGAGGGGGCGGGGTCTCTGACTCTTTTGCCTGCTCTTGGGATCCTTTTCTTCCTACTGGGTTGCTTTGCCAGACTTGATGTGAGCTTTTGTGCCTGGAATTATTGTACCTTGTTGTGCCATGTTCTGTTGATGTCCCTGGGAGGCCTGCTCTTTTCTGGGGGAGACAGGGTGGGGAATGGATCTAGGGGAACTGGGAGGAACTGGCTCTGGTGGGGAAACTGGGAGGAGTGGAGGGAATAAAATAAAATAAAAACTTTATTATTTACAAAATAAAAAAAGAATAAGATAATTCACAAAGTAAGTTCAGAATAAACCTAATAAACTTGAAAACTGTTTAATCTCAATAAAAGTAAGTGTGCAGATGAATGGATAATAAAAATGTGGTATCCAGTGGAACATGGTTCAGCCATGAAAAGGAAAAGAACTGCCTGCTAAACAAAGCAACAGCAGAGAGTATGAGATTCCATTGACACACAACATCCAGAATAGGCAAGCCATTTAGGCAGAAAGTAGTGTGTGGTTGCTAGAGTCTGGAAGAGAAGAAAACGTGTGGTGGGTGTGTGACTAGTGAATACAGGGTTTCCTTCTGGAGAGTGAACATATCTTAGAACCAGATGTAGCGCTCACCCAATGCAGTGACTGCACTAAATGCCACCAAACTGTGCAGGTTAAAATGGCAAATTTTATGTCACCCCTGTTTGGCCACATTAAAGAAAATCAAATGCACATTTCCAAGAAGAATTTTAATTTGATCAGATTCTCAAAAGGTTAAGAAGCCCTGGTCTGATCCAACACTTTCATGAGGTACAGAGGAAGGGAGACCCATGGAAGGTCTCTTGGGCTGGTGGCAGAGCCCAGCCACCTGCCCACTTGCCTGGCCATGCATCCTGCCTTCCTCTGTCCTTTGATCCCACTGAAGCCTCCCAGCCGGGCTACCCAGAAGCTGTTGGAACTCCACAGACTTAAAAGGCCTTCCAGAAGCTGGGTGAGGATTGGAGTTACAGGAATGTTTGTCTTTCCGTGGACCCCCAAGCATCTAGAGTGCAAGAGGAGGCATTTCTCACTTTCCCCCATATTGCGTACAGCTTCTGAAGTAACCTTGGGAGTGAACGGGCCTGTCTCTGTTTAAGAAAGAACTTGTGTGAGTTCCAGGACAGCCAAGGCTACACAGAGAAACCCTGTCTTGAACCCCCACCCCCAAAAGAGCTTGCTGTTTGCTTGGAAGGAGGGTACTTAGCTGACTGCCTCAGAGGACAGAGGACTGTTCTTTATCCAGATGCCATTGCTACCTTGACCTAGACATCGTAGATGTGCCACAGTGTGGGGTTCTCCTAGCTGACACATTCATGTTTTTTAAAGTTATACTTTATTCTTTTGAGATAGGATCACATTGTGCTGACTAGGCTGCCCTGGAACTCACTATATAGCCTCGGGTGGCCTCAAACTCAATATTCTCTTGCCTCCTCAGTGTTATTCCAGACACACACCACCAGTCCTGCTTAAGGTTTATTTTAATTGACGAGTGATCATTGCATGTGTTTATAGGGTCCATGTGATGTTTTGATGTCCTCCCCATCGTCTTTCACTAGCTTGACTGAAAATGCACACGAATCCCCCCCCAACACTGAGACCCACTCTCAGAAATTTCTCCCTTTCTTGCTGATTAACCATACAATATAGTTAGGAATGCAAAAACGCTCCCTTCCAGAGCACTCCCTTGTCCCAAGTTTAAAAAAGACATACCTGGAAAAGTGCTTGCCAGAGATGCTGACCACAGCAAAATCTGTACACCAGTCACTGTAACCAACCCGGACACCTTGGTTGGTTGTTTTGTTGTTGTTGTTGTTGTCACTTTTCTCTCTCTCCATTCTTTCGCTTTTAGGTTTTTTCTTTCTTTCTTTCTTTCTTTCTTTCTTTCTTTCTTTCTTTCTTTCTTTCTTTTTCTTTCTTTCTTTCTTTTTTGGTTTTGTTTTTGTTTTTGAGACAGGGTTTCTCTGTGTAGTTTTGGTGCCTGTCCTGGATCTCGCTCTGTAGACTAGGCTGGCCTCGAACTCACAGAGATCCTCCTGGCTCTGCCTCCTGAGTGCAGGGATCAAAGGTGTGCGCCACCAACTGCCTGGCTTTAGTTTTGGTTTTGGTTTTGTTTTCTTAACAGGATTTTATGTGGCCCAGGCAGGTCTAATGTCCACTATGAAGCTGAGGATGACCTTGGACTTCTGATCCTCTTGCCTTTACCTCCCAACAAGGGAGTTATGTCTTCTTTTGATCCACTGGTCGACAACTCTCACCACCATGAGCATAAGATGGAGCGCCACCACATTCCAGAAGGGCTATTAAAAAAAAAAAACATTGCATAATTGAAATGACTGTCTGGTACCTACATACCTTCTTTTGAAAAACTATACGGGCCTCGGCAAAGGTCGGTGACAGAACACTTGCCTAGGGTGCAACAAGCCCCTGAGTTCAATTCCCAGGGTTGGAACACACCACCATCTTTACCCAAGCTCTGAGGAGATCCAGCACATCTGTAGTGTCTGTGTTTGGGAGGAGAAGACAGGAAGACTAAGTTTGAGAATAACATGGGTTTAAAAAAAAAAATCACGTCTTTAAAAATCAAAAAGAAAAACCATGAGACTTCTTCCTTAGGTAGGTTGTCATAAAGGTCACTGAGGGTGAGCCTGCCCGTTGGCTGCAGGAACACTTTCTTTCCTGCTCCTGTTGTTAGTCGGGGACTCCACAGTTCCTACAGCGGAAGCGAATTTCACCAGTGCAGATTCCTAGGCCCCATACCTCACTTCCATAAGCCCTTCACTATAATTGGCATCCCAGAGCCCTGGAAGACCCTGTGGGGGTGGAGGGGAGCTGGTGCCTGGGTTGGAGTAGGAGGACTGTCCTTGGAGCATGTATCAATTATGGGGAGCAGGATCTAGAGGAGCTTGTAGTAAAGTCCCGGGCCTGGAGAGGGGCCCAACGTCAGAAACAAAGCAGATAATTCCAGAATGCATTAGAGCCCTAGGTTAAAAAAAATTAATAATACAGATACACTTAGAAATTTAAAAAGCTGGGCAGTGGTGGCACACGACTTTAATCCCAGCACTTGGAAGAGGCAGGAGGATCTCGGAGAGTTCGAGGCCAGCCTGGTCTACAGAATGAGTTCCAGGCTACATAGAAAAACCCTGTCTCAAAAAAACCGAGAGAGAGAGAGAGAGAGAGAGAGAGAGAGAGAGAGAGAGAGAGAGAAGAAATTTGAGATAACAGGAAAGGACATCTTCACTGGGGAGGGAACCAACGGTGATATCTACATGCAAAGACCCCAAGTTTGGGAAAAATTAGGCTGGCTTAGGAAGTGAAGTCCCAGTGGCTGATGCGTGGGCAGGGCAGATGACAGGCGCGTGGGGCAGGCAGAAGGATCTGGAGCACCTACGACAGAAGCGGTCAAGGCGTGGTCAGCCGGGGGTTCAGGGAAACCTGAAGGTCGGCCAGCGAGTGGTGGCCAGGGGCAGGAGTATCTGCAAGGAGTCTGGGTAGGGGATCACACGGGGCAGCGGAGTCACTACTGTCCCTACTCCAGCCGCTGGGTCAGCTGCTGCAGCTACCCTCTGGCCTACCCAGACCTGCTGATGACGCCTTGGAGCTCTCTAGCGCCTCCTGTGACGTCAGGAGTCTGACCCGGGCATTCTCCGGGTCTGCGAGCGAGCGTGAGGAGCCGCTTGCGGCGCGCGGGGTCGCATCCTGATGAAGAAGGCTAATGACAAGCAGTCCCCGCCCAAGTTGCTCGGTGGGTGCGCGCCCCCGCGCGGGGCACTGGTTGCTATGGACGCCGCGGCGGCCGCTTGCGGGCGGGGTCGCAGGGGGGTGCCGCGCTGCGCAGTCACCCTGGGGGCCGGACGCGCAGGGCCACGCTGGTAACCTGGGGCGGCACCATGAAGGCCCTCAAGAAGGAATCCCGTCTCAAAATTCCAACCAGCAGGTTCTTGGAGGCCGCAGAGAGCGTCAAAGGTTGGCGCTGGAGGCCTTGGGTGCTCAGGAAAACCCGACAGGGATGCTTGGGCTGGGGTTAGGACACTACAGATTCGAGGGAGGGTCACTGAGACCGTGGGGGTACACCACACAGGGCAAAGGAGGGAGACGCAGCGCTCTGGACTTCGGTGGTGGTGATATGGCAAGTGAGGGACTAACAGAGGGACTTCCGGGATCAGTGACAGGGGGACAGCCTTGGACAGGAGGAGTAGGCGACCTCCAACTCAGTTACATCTTAGAGTGGTGCAGGGGACTCGCTGCGTTACGTGAGAGGCCCAAGAACCAGCGAGTACCTAATGAGGTTCTTGGGTATTGAAGCAGGGTCACCTAAGAGTCATGCTAGGGAAAAAATCCACTAGTAAAAAAAAAAGAAAAAAAGAAAGAAAAGAAAAAAAGAAAAAAAAAGACCACGAAAACCCTAACTCTGTTGGCTTCAAGTGACATTTATTTCCTACCTCTTGGCCTTTCCAGCTTCATGACAGATATTCAGTCTAACATGGACTAGTACCATGAGTGTTTCCATTTCCCATTTGCAACCTACTCCCCTTTAAAAAAAATCCTGCTGGGGATGGACCCCAGGGGGCATGTGCATGCTAAGCAACGCTCTGGTACTGAGTCATCCCTTCCCCTGCTTTCATTTACTGAGGTCTATCCTATGTGGACACTGGTAGGCACCTAGGTATCAATATTGTGTGACTCCAATCCTCCAGAAACACGATCAAGCGAAGACCCAGGGGAATACGGAAGGACTTAGAAAAGCAAATATGGAGGCCTATGGGAGTTAAGGCCCCTCAGAGCTTCTGAATTAGGCCTTTGTTGGTGGACTTAGAGGGAAGGGTTTTCTGAAGTAGATGACTTGTAGGATAGATTAAAGAAAAAGACAAATAAAAATATAAAAAGGAAGGCTTTGCTTCTCTGGGTTGGGAGAGCAGTGTGAATTTGTGGCCCAGTGAACATAGGAACCAGAGGACTCTGTGCAGGTGTGCAGGGGCCAGACCATGAAAGGGCTTCCCGTGCAAAGTCAGAAAGTCTTGTTTGGTGACCTTGTAGGCCCTGAGGGGACCCACCCTCCTAGGCCTGGTGCAGCACACTGTGAAGAGGGGGGCGGGCCAGGAGTCAGTGGAGCCCCCTGGGAGGCCCAGAGACCTCAAAAGACCCGAGTGGGTTTTTCTTTCTTTCTTTCTTTTGGATATGGCTTTTATGTTCCTTCATAGTATAAAAAAGCTGGTGCTGTTTCATGACATACTTTTAATAGTTAAGAGAGAAGGAGAGAGAGAAAAAAATAATAGGTTCCCTTTCCCAAGGGCAGCCAAGGGCTCTCCTAGCCACTGCCTCGTGCCTACCTACTTTCAGGGTAATCTTAATCAGATTTGTACTCTCTGCTGTAAACAGATCAAGGAAGGATTTTTTCACTGTGTATTTGTTTTTAATAAGGGAAGGATTTGATTTGTTAAATAGTCTTTGACTTAAGAACATGCACCAGAGGGGGGGGGGGGAACAAAACCAGTGTTTCACATGGAAGGTCCCTTTCTCCTGAACCTTCTTAGAAGCCTCCCCAGTGTCCGGTCCACAAGTGTGATCCTGTAGTCTTGTGCTATGTGCCTCTGAGGTCTCTGATTCTTGAACATAAAGGCAGGCACACATGACTGGGGAACCTGTTTAGAAACCTGAACTACCTACCCAGGCCTGTGGCTCTCCTTGGCCTTGTTGCTAAGCTACAAGTAGCACCAGCTGCCCCTTCCATTACAATGACAGTTCCTTCTGCAAGGGACAGTTCCTGCCTTGGTTCCCTCAGCTCAACCCTCAAGTCAGTTTCCCCAAGACTTTCAGCAACACTGAGGAACAATGACATTTGTTCAAGAAGTAGAAAAAAAAATCAGATCCCCTCTTCTACCCCCTCCCTGGGTCCCCCTCTTCCTGACCCCCTCAATAACTCCTCTTGCCTTAGCTCCATCAGGGGTATTGCCCGACTGTCCCATTCAAAGAGGCTTGTGTCCGACCCCTGTCAGCACGGAGAAATGCCAGCTCCGTGGCTCACCAACAGCCCCACTCAGCTTGGGTTTCCAGAACAAAGCACATGGGCCTCAAGTTCAGTAGTGACACACCCCTACCCTGTGGGGTCCTCCAGGACACCCCGAACTGCCCCCAACCTAGGACTGGTCCTTCCTGCCAGGTCTGCCTCCAGTCTGTCTGTCTGTCTGTCTGTCATTGGATGGGTCATTCTGAAATGTCAGCACTCCACTCTCCTGTTGCAGGGGTCAGATCTCTGATCTGGATTTCATTTTTCCATTACACACACACACACACACACACACACACACACACACACACACACACACACACAGAGAGAGAGAGTTAAATTCATGCCCAAAAATATTCACTGAGCACCTTTGTTATTGTGGTTCTTTTGTTTGGGGATAAGGTCCCAAAGCCACCACGCTGTTTTCCTTCATCCTGATCTGCAGCCCTGCTTCCCCAGCAAGCTTCCCATGCCGTCATGCCACACACACCTGCCACATTCAGCCTTGCTCACACTGTGGCCTTACCTGTAACACCACCATCTGCAGGTCCATCTCTGCAAAGCATTTGTCCCTGTCCACCTCTTCCAGGCTGGATAGCTGTCATAGCATTAGGGTCCTCAACTCTGCAACTGGCATAGTTATTCTTTGAATATCTAATCAGATCTATTAGCATGCTTTCCACGCAGACATTCACATTAAGATCCCTGTGTGTTTGTTTCTTTCAAGAGGAACCACATTGTAACCTCATATACTGTCTTCTCTGTCCTTTGCAGCACATAGAACGTGGATGGTGTGCCAGGCATGGTAGCTCACATCTGTAAAACCAGCACTGAGAAAGCTGAGGCAGGAGAATTACCATGAGTGTGAGGCAAGCCTGGTATAGATAGTGAGTTCCAAGTCAGCCTGGGCTAGAACGAGACCCTGTCTCAAAAGAAAACAAAACAACAAAAGAAAGTGGATAGTCTCTAAGATGGACTTCACTTTAAAATGCATACGTCAGTTTAATGAATATTTAGTTAACCAGAGCAGGCCCCATCCCCCAACTGTGCAGAGTGGCAGCATTTATGGTAATGCACTCAAGATAGTTCAAACCTCAGACCAGAGCTTTCAAGGGCTGCTTCAATCTCAACCAATCAGGGTCTGTGTTGCTTGCTGAGCGTGGTGGGAACTTTGGCCCCAGGATTCTTCAGCAGTGTTGAAGGTTTGTGTTTATATCTATCTACCAGTAATTCTATACCCATTGGTGAAAGGCACATCTGGGACTGTTTAGTCCCTAGGGAAGATGTACACCGATCAAGGTGATGGGTAGAAGAAACAAATGTCCTAGAAAACATAAATAATGTGGAAATGCTTCTAACATTGGATGTCAACTGGCCTCAGTTCCCTCGTGGGTTGCCACCTGCTTTGATGTTTGTATAGAAGGGAAGAGAATTAAAAATTGGAACCTAAGCCCATCTAGATGGGGGCCAGTAATCTCAGGGCTCAGGTGGCTGAGGCAGGAAGATGGCAAATTCCAGACCAGCCTGGGCTTCAATCGGAAGATCCTGTCTCAGAAAGAAAGCTTGGGCACACGCCAAAGGTCGTGTTAACACACGCCTTCGATCCCAGCACTCGAGGCAGAGGCAGGCTGGTTGAGTTTGAGGCCAGCCTGTTCTACAGAACAAGTTCCAGGACAGCCAGGGCTACACAGAGAAACCTCTCACAGGAGAAAAAAAAAACAAAAAAGAAAAAAAAAATCTAAATTAAAACTCAAGGCTGCTGCATCTTCAGGTGTGGTGGAAGATCAGACCAAAATGGGGTCACACTGCTCAGCTCTGCGTGTGTCTGTGTGTGTGCACTTTGTGCAGAGACACCCTGAGCTATTTTTCCTGTGGAGGAGACGGACTTAGAGTTATGTTTGGAATGAGGTTTTTTTTTTTTTTAAACCACCTGCAATGTGGACATTTCCTTTAAAAAACAGTTTGACTGTGTAAACCAAAGCCCCGTGATGCTGTAGTGGTGTGGTCTCTGACAGATTAGAGAAGCACTAGATAAAACCAAAATGTTGTTCTAAACACCCTGACAGCTGAGTTTAGCTTCTCCTTTGATTGTTTTGTAGAGATGTTTACATCAAACCCTCCTCAGCCAGAGGGGGAAAAGATGAAATGACCAACCAGAGCGTCGAGGTGTACATCTAAAGGAGTTAAGCTACCTCTCTGGCGGCAGACAGGACGCGTCCTGGCCAGAGGGCCGCTGGCTGTCACTTAAGTGGCGTGAACTCTGATCGCTGCATTTTTCTGCAGTCGCATGGGCCACTGGTGGCATCTGGGTTCTCTGGCTGCAGTAGACCCTTAAATAATCTTGTCCTCAATCTTGGCCCCCTGGGCTGTTCCTGGCCCTGCCTGCCTCTGTCTGTCCTCAGGGTAGGCTGAAATCCCTCGCATGGATCACTAAGCTCTCGGTGCGTGACTCCTATTTCCTCCTGCCTTCCTGCCTCTCACCAGCTCTCACTCCACTCCAGTGATTTCACAGTGCATGCTTGGAGTTCCAGAGGGTTCTCCCTCCTCTCTGGCCTCTAGGCCTCCACA